AGGACAAATCTATGACAGAAAAATAGGTGGCTGAGGCTGGCACCTCGGTGATTATAGTTGATGGGTTAGGCACTATGGGGGCTCTTGGTATCACATGGTTATTAATGAGGCGCAAATCGTGCACAAATCTAAAGATGGGGTTTCCATCTTTGTCTACTGTAGATTTCTTTACAGGAAAAATTGGGGTGTTGCAGGGAGAGGTACATTTAATGAGAACTCCTTGCTTTAGGTATGCTTGTATTAATTCCTTTATGGGGTGAATTGCCTCTGCAGGGATTTTATATTGGGGCACGCATGGAGGTGGTCCATGTTTCACTTGGATAGTAACAGGTGTTTCTCCTTTAATTAGTCCCACTTCTGATGCATCCCAGCCCCATAAGGAGGGTGGCAGGCTTTTTAAATCTTCATGAAGCCCTGTGTTGCTGGTTATCAGCATGATTGTCTTGTGTGTGCCTTTTCCTGGGATCTCCAATTGCAGCCCCTGTTTGCCACATGTTATGGTAGCTCCCATTTTACATAGGAGATCCCTTCCTAGTAGGGATAGTGGAGACTGGAGGCAAATAGTGAAGGAATGGTCTACTGTGAAAGGTCCTAGTTCTACTGTTATGTTGTGGGTAAATTTTACAGGGATTATTCCCCCCCCCCCACTCCCATTATGCTATCCCAAGCCCCTTCAGCCACTGAAGCTTTATATGGTGGTTCAGTAAATTACTGAGGAGGTGGCTCCAGTGTCAACTAAGCAATTGTATTTTTTTCCTCCTATAAGAATGGTGACAATGGGTTCCCCTTCAGGGCCGTTTTTTAGGGGAATAGCCAGCCCGTTAAAGGTAGCCATGAATTCAGTGTTTTCATTCTCATGTTCTAGTCAGGAAAGGGGCAGGTCATTTTCCCTTCTTTGCTCCCATTGAGGTCCATTGTTATGATTTATTTGAGGAAAAGGAGCGCTTGGGTGGTGCATGATGATTAAAGCTTTGTTGTTCAGTGTAATGGACTGGATTATTGCCTGGCTTCATGTTTCTAGGTGGTGGGTGATACTGGTTGCGGGAAAGGCGTTGCCTACATTGCCTGCTGAAATGCCCTTCCTGTCCGCACCTATAGCAATGCTGGCATTTGCCTTGTTACCATCCTGCTTTATCACAATGCCAGCATTTCCTTGAATTATAGGGGGTTTTACCTGGCGTTTGTCTGGCATCTTGTTGCATTACAGCAAACATTTTTAAGTCCTCATGTCTTTCTATCCTCCTTTTCCTATCTTTCTCTTCCTCTTTCAGTTTGTCTCTTTGATCATAGACAAAGTTAGTGATCCTGCGCAACTCTGCTATTTCTAAGGTTGGCCAGTTAGAGACAAAGCAGTGGAAATGCTCTTTGATATCCACGGTGGACTGATCCACGAAGGCTGAAGCTAAAATCCTTTGGTCCTTCAGGCAGCTAAGGTCTAGATGGGCATATGCAATAGCTGCTTCTGACAGGCGGACCCAAAAGGCATCAGGGTTTTCCTTTTCTCTTTGTGTTGTTTTTTGAAATTCTGACCAGTTTAAAGTCTTTTTACCTATTTCTTCTAAAGCTTCCAGTAAGTTATTTTTTGCTCTTGTGTATTCATCCCAGTGATTGGTATCATTGTAGTCCCAGTCAGGGCGATGTACTGGCCATGCGATGCGGGCTGGGGCTGCCTGTCCAGGGATAGTTGGTAGTTTAGCTATTTGGTCTGTTTTAATAGTTTTAATAGTTCGTCTTTAGTTAGAAAGACTTGTAGCAGCTGGGTCATATCACCCCAGGATGGATTATGGCTATCTATGATAGATTTCAGGGTTTGAATTACTGTTTGAGGATCAGCCCTGAAAGCTGGGGTATCCTTTTTCCAGACGACCAAATCAGAGGCAGAGAAGGGAGTGTGGGTAAAAACGTACTCTAATTGTCCCCTATTTGTGCCCGGCACTGGTTTGCTTAAAAGGGGAGCAATAATCCGTGCCTCAGTCTTTCCTTCCAGGGAATGGGTTTCAGGCTTTTCCTGATCTTTTCCCTCGGTCAGGTCTTTGGTCCTAGCCATTTCAGCCCAGCAGTACCAATAGGGTATTTGGCTGGGTTTAATGCGTGTTCTAAGTGCTTTCAGGGTTTTATAATCTAAAGTACCGCTATCAGGCCAAATTTGTCTACCCGTGTCATCCCGCAATAAAGCCCACTTTTTGCAAATTCTTTTTGCTTCTTTTTTATGCATTCCAGTCAGGACAGGCACTTGCCTTTTGTCCCAAGCCTCAAGTAATTTATCCAAGGGGGTTTCTTCCATTGCCCTCGAGCTACAACTTCCCATATTCCCTGCTTGATGTGGGGATTACTTTGGTTTAGCCAGGCTACAGCTGTCAGTTTTCAGACAAAAAAGGTCTAGAAAGGACTCCGGTTTCCCTACACATGGTACGGGCCCCTTCTAAATGCACAGGGCTTTTCTTGCGGGATGCACCGGGACTATTTTTCCTCTGCTTTTTTATTTCCTAACACCAGTTCCTTTTGCAGCCCGCTTGGTTTTTCTTACGTCCTTCAGAAGGACTCACACTCCGTGATCACCCCTTGCATTCCCAAATCCAGCCAGTCACGGCTCGTGTTTGATCTAGCAGCTGGCTGGGGTGCGGCTGGCAATCACGGAGGAGGTGAGGTCCCGCTGTTTCCGCAGAGAAAACCCACAATCACACACCTGGTCCACTCATGCTTCCACTCCCCTCACTAGTAAGATTATAAATTTGAAGCAGCTTTCAAGCAGCTGTTGAGCGGAAAAGCCCAAGGACTCCCTTTACTACCCTATACCTTCCGGGCTGGGTCCGTGGATGTTGTCCCTGGACAAAGAAGGTCCATGCCAGCTGGGTTTGGATCCGCGGGCCCGGTCCGGTGGCAGGGTTGGCTGGGAAACCTTCGTAGTCGCCAATTGTTGAAAGGTGTTAAAATGCCTTTCTTTCGAGGATTCAATTTTCCCGCTGGGAGAGCTCCGGCGCAAGGATACGGACAACTGCTTGAAAGCTGGATCTTTTTATTTTTCAGGAAGGTGGAGAACAGCGAGAAGTCTGCGTTCCTGGGCTAGCTAGCTTATGGTAAGTCCCTGGTTTTTTATACCCTTTTCTCCCTTTGTAAGTTGATTTTGTGTGAGTATTTGTATTTGTGCCTGTTTCAAATTCTGTTTGAGTTTGTCTTTATTCCCGCCGGAGGGCAAACTCCACGGGGTGCGGAAGGCAAACTCCGCGGGGTGGCCAGATTGTATTATTGGTTTTCTGTAATCTCTTTTAGCTTTAAGATAGTTTTTCATATTTGTTCTGTGGCAATCTCCTGTCTGCCCCTTTTGTAATTTATATTTTGTATCTTTTGTCTGTTTGTTTTGCTTATTTGGTATGTCCTGTGTTTGTAAGGGTTTTCTAAATTATCTTTTGTTTCCTTTTCCTATTTGTCTAGTTTTCTTAATTACTTAGGCTTTTGTCTATAGGGATTCTTTAATACTTTTTATTTGATTCCTTTTCCTATGTAAGTTTGTTTTCTGGCTGACCTGATGTTCCCCTTGGGCTTTTCCTGTTTTTTGTGACACTACTGTCTTCGTGAAGTTCCCTTTCCACACTAGGAGAGGGGTGGGTGCTAATTTCTTACAGGATGTCACCATAGCACCTGGCTGACCAATTGTTCAGACCTTGTTACCCGTTTGATAGAAGACCATCAAGAAATCTCAAGATTATATATTAAATTTGGAAGTAAAACTTATAGGAAGGCAAAAGAAACCCTGTGTGCTTATCACCATAGACATTTAGGAAAGCTATGTAAGACTGTTGGAAGTTAAAACCTACCCCTCTCCTAGAAAATTGAAATATCCTAGGAAATATTAAAAAGGCAGAATATTTTCCCTAAAAAGAATAGAAACTCAGAAGCAGAAACTCACCCCCCCCCCCGCTTTGCTAATAGGCCATTAATCTGGCCTAGGCCAGCCTTTTTTACATAACAAAGATCTCCAGGTAGAGCTATAAGAATTGCCCAAAACCCTTTCATTACATCATCACCCAGCAAGGCTCAACCAAGCCTGGGATTCAAGGCAGCCTACAGAGTTGCCCCTGCATGGCCCCATGAGAGTCTGACAAACAATCAGAATACAAGCTCAAATTCAAATCCCAACAGAGGGTATAAAACCAGGCACTTTCAGCATCTCAGCCCTTCCTTTTTTGGAGCTCCAAGCCATGTGGTCCTATCCACCATTAAACTATCTTTCCAAACAGTCTCCATTTTTCCAGTGTCTTTTTCCCCACTTGGAACTGAACCCCGGATAATTCTTCCAACAAGACTATATTGCTAAAAATTGGGTTTGGTAATATCTTTTCAGATTACACATATTTCATCAAAAGGCATCAACTGCATCCTGAACTGCATTTTCTCCATCACATTTAACAGAATGAACTTCAGCTCAGGAAACCCGATGCCTTTAAAATAAAATGCACTTTCCAAGTGCTGCTAGAATTCTGATGTGTCCCTATTAGCTGCTACTGGCCAAGGCCAACTGGAGGAGATTCTACACGATAACTGCACTGACTGACTTAATGTTTGTGCTGTAGATAGTTGGTTGGGAACTTCATTGTTTCCTCAGTAGAGATGGTGGCCTGCTTACCATATATCTCCTCTGAAGTCTAGAATGAAATGAACGCTAAACGCTTGCAGGGAACGTGCCTGCCAGCCGGTTGAGGGCTGGCCCTTGTACAAACACTCCACGAATCCCCCAAATAAAGACAAGGCTGATGAGCTGAATTCCAATTCTAATTAAAGGAATCGAAGCCTTTCAACTGATATTATAAAGGGACCTCGATGCAGCTAAATTCGTCTGCTATGCAATGCGCCCTCCTGAAACGGCAGCGGCGCAGAATTGTGAGCGATGCCACTCCGCCTTTCAAAACGCTGAGTTGGGGAGGTGTTAGGGGCGGTGGTAGTGACGTAAAGGGGGCGGCAGAAATTGACGTTGCTTGGCGGGCGGAGCGTCTCCTACACCTCAAAAGGTCTTGGGCGGAGGAGGTTCCTTGCGGTGGGATTGTATCAGGCCATCTGCACCTTGGGGCTTTTCCGTGTGAAGCCACGGTATCCCGATCCCTTGAAGAAGCAGCTGGGATGGGGAGTGGCAGCAGACCGGGCGGTTACTGTGACAAGAAACTGTTAGTGTAATACCCCAAGCGCCTAATGACTGAATTGTAAGAACAAGGATTTGTTTTCACTGCTTTAGTAATTTCAGATTTGAAAACCTGTTATTTGGGTTGTTGTACGACTCTCTCCGCTGATGTCCTTCGCTTAGGTCTTTAAAGTCTTGAATCCAAGTTGGCGGTGTGTGTGTATGTCCAAATAGGCTAAGAAATAAATGTATTTTGGAATAGCATACAGTCTATATTGTATACCATTTTCTGTGTATATAATAAGTATATTTTATCTGAATTTTTAAGTGCATTAAATTAATTGCCTTACATAATCTTCTGAAAAACTTACACAACGTTAAGAATTAAGAATCTTTGATGAATATCGTAACTATACTGGTAGACATAATATTTAAATAAAATAGCACCTAGATAGTATTTGCTGTTCTTGAAAAATTAAACATGTTTAGATCTGTTCAGTCCTTCTATAGGAAGCTTCCAGAAAATCCCAGTGCTGTAAATTAGAAAGAAGGCATTGGCTAACAATTTCTGTATTGTTGAAAGAAAATGACAATTATTAGTAGCCTTACATTTTTTTAAGTACACAAACAAATAATGGAGAAGACAGTTTACAATTGATCCTTCTAATCCATTTCATCTTAACTTTGAATTGCATGCCAAGGGATTTAGCTGTAATATTTTTGTATAAGAATGATTGGGATTTATTGTTTTGAGGACACATCTTTTTTTATCAATTTGTAAACTATCAAGGTTTCACAATGATAAGCAGAAAGTAATTACTAAAAATAATTTAATATCAAATATTTTTCAGTTATATTTTGTAACTTGAAATATAAGTAGCACTAGAAAATATACATTAATGATTTTTGTCTTTGGTTATAGAAATTTAGATTCAGTTTGGAATCCAGATAAACAAAGATGTTTTGCCATTGGTTGACAATAAGGAGGTAAAGTGGTTCTTTGTACAGTTTTTAACATACCATTTTAAATGATTATATTCCTGTGAATAAAAAGTGAATTGAGTTCCTAGAATTCTTACCTTGATTCAATAATTTAATCTTATAAATTACATTTTTTATGTTAAGCAAGTACTTTTTTTCAGAAAAAATAGGTAGTCCTCAACTTAAGACCACAATTGAGTCCAAATTCATTGCTAAGCGAGATGATTGTAAAGTGAATCACTGCAGTTATTAAATTAGTAACATGCTTGTTAAGTGAAACTGGTTTCTAAATTGACTTTGTTTCTCAGAAAAAAGATGCAAAAGATGATCCCATGATCCCATGTCATAAATATGAGCTAGTTGCCAAGCATCCAAATGTTGATCATGTGACAGTGAGAATGTAGAAACTTTAATTAGTATGAAAAATAGTTATAAGTCACTTTTTTCTATGCTGTTGTAACCTAGAATGGTCAAATCTAATTTTACTGCCTTATAACATCCTTAATGTAACATGTCATTACCCTGAGCAAAACTTTGTGTTCTGTTTGGTTGGCTAACAATGCTTATTTGTTTGTTTAAGGTTATGTTTCAAGAAACTACAACTGCAGGCAAGAGCGTTATCTGGGGCTGATGCTATAAATGCTCTGCGACCGTTCTATTTTGCAGTACATCCAGATTTTTTTGGTCAGCATCCCAGAGAAAGGGTAAAAAACTTACGTTTTTTGAGATACAATTCTATGTATTTAAACAAATCTAAATTTTGAACATACCTAAGACTGCACTATTTAATACATCTAGGTTAACTGAAGTCTGTTCTTAACTAGTAGCTTGTTAATCTGACGTGAATATTGTAATGTAGTATTTTCCACACACAAAACACGTGCAAATGGTTTACTATTAAATTATGGCCTATCTGTTTAAAGAGACATACTTTTGTAAGAGATAAAGATTTTCAGATATGCTTTTGGAACATATACATGTATGTTGTGATTCCGGCATCTGCTACAGGTTTTTTGAATGACAGCTCCA